AGTGTGTTCTGGGTTAGATCCTGGCTCCTCCACTCAGTGATCTGCCTGAGGAGACCCTGAACTTTGCTCACCTATCATGTGGAGTGATCCACGTACTCACCTCACGGGGCTGTGTAAAATATGAAGCATTTAGCGTGGTGCCCAGCATGTGGACAGTACTCAAAATGTGTACTTAAGAAACACACACATGTGCATACATGTGTGTATGCATGGTGGGTCCACTTTTTGCACAGCCACACAATCTGCTTTTTAAAAACTCATCATATTTCGCTCCTTGGGTATGTCTAGATTCTTGTGGTTTCTCAACATGCCATTGCAGCCACACACTCGAAGTTTAACAGTTAACTCATCTCACAAAGATGGTGCCTTTCACAAGCTTAGGACAAAGGCTGCTTTGATCCTGCATGAGAAAGCATTTAGCGCACTGGAATGTAAAGATTGCGCAAATAAGCCCTGGCCACAGCTGAAACTCTCACGGTAATAAAAATACCTTCAGGCCCTTTCTGAGTTAGTAGAAAAATACTGTCGTTTTTCAAGCAGAAACTGGAGGGCCGAGATTTGGACTCCTGCATTCCTGTTAGATCAAAAGCAGCTGACATCATCATCATCATCAGAATGACTATTGGCTGAGAGCTCACCATGGGCACGTATTGTGCCAAGCACTTCCAGAACATCCATCCTAGGTGAACTTCAAATTAATCTGATGTAGTCTTCTCTCATCCCCAGTTTTTGGGTGACACATGCATGCTTAAGGCCTGTTGGCTTTTGTCCAAACTGGGGTTTGAACATCCTGCCCAGCCCCAGGCCTGCATTCTGAAGCTCTACGAGGTTGTAGCAACCACCTGTTAAGATAGAATTTCTTTTTTTCTTTGCCTTGAATTATTTTCAGGCCTAAAAGTCATTGTCTGGCTGGGCTGTGATCTTATTGATACCTGATATGTTTCACATTTGCAGTACAGCTCTAGGACACCTGTCTCCCTCCCCTTATTTTTATTTTCCCAGAATTCAGGTTCAGGAAGTTTTACTTCAGACCACTTTTTATTTACTTATTTATGCCTCGTGATGTGAAAGGGTGACTAAGTTTTCTGGAGTTAAATCCACTGGACATTTAAATAATTTCTAGAATTGTCAGTATTTTTAAAACCTTACCTCCTTCTAAGAAACTATTGGGAAGAAAGAATGTGATATTCATAAGAGCTCAGTGTACCAAAGGTGTTAATATTAGCATTGGTTATCCTAGTGAAAAAAATTAGATATACCTTTTAGTGGAGGAGTGATTAAGTAAATGATTAAGTAAAACTATGCTACATAGGTAATATGCGACTTCCTTTCCTATATAGAACGTCTATAGAATGTTATATGGACATGAAAAATAAAGTTTACGAGCCATTTTCGATATCGTTATTGAGATATTCATGCCATACTATTCATCTATATAAAGTTCAATATTTTTAGTGTGTTTACAGAGCTGTCACCCCAGTCAATCCTATAACTCTCATTTTAATATCCAGACACCTTAAATCTGTCAGTTATATTGAAAATATAAAGTAGTATGCAGAGTGGCCATAAAGTTCGTGTGCAATTTAAATTGGGCATTCACAACCATAACAAGTTTTTTACATCGAAAAGGAAAAGATAAAAGGTTTAGTAACCACTATAGGCACACCTCATTTCATTGCACTTTGTATATACTGTGATTTATTTTTAAACAAATTGAAGCATTGTGGCAACCCTGTGTTGAACAAATCTGTTGATGCCATTTTTTCCAACCGCATGTGCCCACGTGGTGTCTGTGTGTCAGCTTTTTGTAGTAATAAAGTATTTTTAAATTAAGGCATGTACTTTTGTTAGACAGAATGCTATTACACACTTAATAGACTACATACAGAGTAGACATAACTTTTATATGGCTGGGAAGTGATGAAAAGGGCATGTGCCTCACTCCACTGCAACATGTGCTTTGTTGGGGTGGTCGGGGACCAAGCCCAAAGCATGTCAGTATCTCTGAGCGCTGCCCCCATACGGACACAGACGGGTAACTGATTCCTTTCCTTTCTTGCGCTTTTTAGTATATTGTGTATTTCTGTATTTTCCAAATTTTCTGTGCTGACATGCATTACCTTCATAACAGAAGGCAATAAACTTAATTAAAACCCGAACCGAAGTCGTTATATGGGAAAGGTAACAGCCCTTTTGTTCCTTTCTCCTTCCCCTTGATATTTTTAGACCACTAACACCACCTCAAAATGAGCTAATTAAGATCATACCTTTCCTCTTAGAATGCCTTCTA